GTAGATGGGTATGAATGAATACAGCAGCAGGAGATTAGCACCATGGATAATCAGCAGCACAGACAAGTCACATATCACCAGTTAAAGTGGCATTACAGTGATTTTTTTTTCTTTACAGTGATTTTCCTGGTTAGAGATTTATGAGTCTAACAGCTTCAGGGCAGAAGCTGTTCCTCAGTCTAGTGGTTCTACACTTATTGCTCCTTAACCTCCTTCCTGAGGGGAGTGGGGCAAAAAGTGTGTGCTGGATGAGTGGGGTCCTTCATGATGCAGGTGGCCCTCTTCCTGCATCTGGAGGTGTAGATGACTGTGATGGTGGGGAGACTGACTCCAACAGACTTCTGTGCAGCCTTCACTACTCTCTGCAAAGCTTTTCTTTCTGCAGCTGTGCAGCCTCCATGCCACACGTTGATGCTGGAGCACAGGATGCTCTCCACTGCACACCTGTAGAAGGAGGTGAGGACTGAGCTTCCCAGACCAGCTCGCCTCAGCCGTCTGAAGAAGTAGAGTCTCTGATGAGCTTTCTTGATCAGGCTGGTGGTGTTGTTGCTCCAGCTGAGGTTGTCATTCAGGTGCACAGGAGGACTTGTTCCAGCAGGACTTGTCACCTGCCCACACTGCCAAAGGTACCAAAAGCTGGCTATGGAATATTCTAATTTTCCGACACTGAATTTAGGCATTTCTTTATTTGTAATCCATAATCATCAAAGTTACAAGAAATAAAGGCTTGAAATTTTTCACTCTGCATGAGTTTCACTTTCTGAAATGATTGACAAAAAAATGTGAACTTTTTCATGCTATTCTAACATTTTTTTAGATGCACCTGTAAATTAATTTGACTATTTTTTTCATGCATTTTAGGTATGTTTAAAGAAATGGTGTATCCAAGGCTAGTCTTTTCTTTTGTTCAGTTTGATAACTACTGTATATCCATCCGTCACATACCATCCCATTCTACTCAATCCCATCTCATGGGATCAGATTGGATTGCAATCCCATCCCATCCCATCCCATCTCATCTCATGCCATCCTATAACGTCCCATCCAAATTCTGTCCTATAACAGTCCATCCCATCCCATCCACCCACTTTACCGGCTTTATCCTGTTCAGGGCCATGAGCATCTAGTGCCTGTCCCAAAGAGTCAAAAGGCGAGACACACAGCCATGCACAAACACACTTTCAAAGTCAGTTTAGTATCTAATAAGCTAATGGCAATTTTGCATTGTAAGGTCCAGCTTGGCCTGGGTTGGCCTGGCCCAGACATGTGGGCAAGATCACGATTGCAAGAATGCTCGAGGCTCATATATCATTTTTCACAACACCCAACAATGAAAAACATGGAGCTCATGCTATTGTTCATTCTTTCTATCATCAAAAACGAGGTAAAAATAATAGCCAGAAAGGGCTGCGTGCAGCTAGCAGAAGCACGGTAGAAAGATCCATGAGCGTGTGAGGCCATACAGCAGTATCATGCCAAAGATTACAGGATTACAAGACTTTGGCGTTGACCACCAAGCTAGCGCTATGGTCATTCTAGTCACACAATGAGTCTTTATTTGAGGTTAATATGTCAGTTGAGTGTTTAACCTATGGACATTTTGGTATACGGAATGATTTGAGAACGCGCCATCAATCTTCCAATTGTAGTAATCACAAGTGGTCGTTAAGTTAGACACATTAATGTCAAATGTTTTCTTGAACATACCGCACAACTTCTTGTGACATTCCATAGGTTCAGCAATGCAGTTTTCTTTAGGCATCTTGACGCATGTCTTTTCAGTTCTCGTACACGTTTTGAAAGCAACACAATGCTGTTCAATTTATGACTCAGTTCTGAACTTTGTGTTGACATTTTCCTATGCAAGGACGGTTCAGACATAAAGACTTGATTTTTCAATACCTAAATGTCTCAAAGGGGGTGCAGTAAAGGCTTGATGGATTGGTCATCCTCCACAGATGGGCAGAGCACCATGCAGAAACGGTGTACATCTGCAGCTGACACATGATGTCGGGCCGTCATTCTGTGGTAGCCAAGCACAAAGCAGAGTGCATCTCCAGGGAAGGAAGCTCCCTGTTCCTTTACAATCTGCAATTATAAAGAGCCTTGTGATTAGCTTCAAAATGCAGTTCAGTACTCCCCCCTCTGACTGCTGGAAGATGATTAATGCCCTGTGATTAATGCTCAAGTGGATTCCTTGTGAAGAACAGGGGACATTAAGCACTCAGTTCATTTGATATGAAAGTGCAGGAAAATAACCTTTTTATCTTTCTGTCACAGCTGTGGGCGACATTTAGCTGAACCAGCCAGTTTTACTCCAACGGACAAAACTTACTAAACTGAAAAAAAAATCTGCATGTGGCGGAGATTCATTTCAAACATCACTGCTTTCACTGTAAAATAATACAGTAGTCCCTCGTTCATTGCGAGGGAACAACCCCCCACCCCACCCCTGCAATAAGTGAAAATCTGTGAAGTAGTTGCATATTTAGTATTAACTATTTTCGTAATAGTTTCATTTATTTTGCGATCAAACATGCTCCTTTTCGTCAGTTCAGAATAAAGGGACGAGAAGACAGCCCCTGGTTTACTCCAGAGCGCTATATATGTATATATATATAAAGTATGTGTACAGTATGATCTTTTTTTTTGTCGTGTACAATCTTAACTTGAAAAACTGCGGAAAATCGAGTCAAGTAAAACCGCCAAGTAGCGAGGGACTACTTTATTGCCATACCTAGATAACCTTTGAGAGAAGTTAATTAAAAACTTCTTTACCATCAAAGTTGTCCTACTGGTTTTAATATTTTATTTTGGCCAAGTTCCTTGCTAACTATCCATGCTTGCTGTTTACATGATTTGTCTGAATAGGCTTTGACCTCAGACAACAGAAACCTTCAAGTACTGTCTTATCCCTTGACCGCAGACTCCTTTAATCATTCTCATGTACAGGACAGAAGTCCTGAACTTGCACACAGTACAGATTGATGCCACTAACGGTTAGATAAGGAAACGTGTTTTTTATATAGCTAAAATTATCTTTTTATGCTAAAGCTTCAACAAACGTGGTGAAGGATTTATCAAAAAGGGTCATAAGAAGCCAGAGGGTGGTGTATTTCTGTCTGACCCACATTCTTCATTGAGCCAGCTGGACCCAAGGGGTGTGATGCTGACAAACCTGAAATGGCACTACGAACACCCCCAGGAGTCTTTCGGCTTACGTGCCCTTCACATGCGTACGCACTGCTGAAAGTCTCACAGCGACATGCGGGCATCCCCAAATTATAACTTTAAGCGTGGTTGTCATTTTCTAAAATAATTCTTACAAATATAAATTTGTTTGACACATTAAAGAACTAGAAATATTCTCCGTAAATGCAATTTAATTTGTGTTGGATTTGGGATGTTTTTGTTGGTTGATAAGCTAATGTTGAAGACTGGATGTTAAGTCCCCCCCCCCCCCCCCCCTGCATGTTTCCTCATATTTGGCTTTCATCAGCACGTTCTGCTTTGCTACGGTCAGGACTTTTTATCTGCCCTTCAAAAGATGGCCGTATTATTGACCAGTCTGTTCATACGTCTAGAAACTTTCTCTTGTCTGGGCCATATCTCACGATCGGCTCAAGATAATTTAACCAACCTTCATACACATATGCGTCAATAGTATCTTGTACACGTTTCATCACCCCAGCTGCCAGCTCCCAGGTCAAGGTCATATATCAAGGTCAAAGTTAAAACGAGGTCGTTGCTCGTCCGGACCATAACTTTCGATCCGCTCAAAATAATTTCTCAAAGCATCATACACATTTGTACCACTACATAGCGCATCACATAATATTTTCATCACCTGAACTTTAAGGGCAAGGTCACAAATCAAGGTCAAAGGTTATACAAGGTCGTTGCTTGTCCAGGCCATTGCTGTACAAGCTGCATAGCTGTATAATAGTTTGTCGGTGAACAGTACTCTTGTTAATTTTTGCGTACAAACTGAGTTTCCATTGTTTAAGATATCTGAAAAGTCACAATCAGAAACTCGTTAGAATCCGTTGTCTTGTACTCTGGATGTAGTAAACGGTTGGGTCACTGAGCAGTCAACTGAAGTCAACGGAGCCGGTTTATGCTCCGGCCATGTGACCGTAGTGTTGGTCCAGTGAGCTTATGTCAGCATGCAGCAATGCATCTGGCTCCTTGGCCTTCTGGCAGGAACATCGACACATGCACACCAAGACACACAAACGTTGTCTCCTTGCACCGAGCCAATTAAAGATGTCCTGTTGAACAGATCTCTTGGCTTACAGTGAGAGAAGACCACCAGCGTTTCAGTGATCCCAGTGAATCTTTTATTAAAACCCCGAGCTGTACCACTTCTTGTTGTGAGGGGTCTCTCACAGTGAACGCTGCTTTGCTGTCAGCCTGACTAAGCACTGACCGATTCGGTTATCATAGACGGGCGTGGAGTTGTCTGAGCAGATTTAACTTGCAAATTTAATAAAAGGCAAATCACTACTGTCAAATCACAAAGACTCGTATTAATTCCTCCTCACTACCCCTGGGATAAACATATGTTGTACTGTTTTTTGCCAATACCTTTGGGCACTATTCATCCGAGTCCACTAATCCAAAAAAAGCTGTCTGGGCTTTAATCATTTCTGCTCTGCAGCATCTCTATGTGCATCGTGGTACCTTTTTATAAAAGCCATGACTGATACAAAAACATTTGGCATCAGATAACAATTTAGCCTTTACAAAGAGGCTTTTGACTCAAGAGAAGGGTGACTCTCACCAAGTTATGTTTTGGTCTTATAAAAGTGTTGCATGTTAGTGTTCATTTTAGATAATAAAAAAATAGTTGTTTCATCAGCCAGTTGGTGAAATCGTGCATTATGTCTGCTAACGGAGGAGTTAAAAGGGCAACGAGCTGTAAAATCTATTATGTCATCCGCATGTGTGTCCTTTTGTGTAATATTTAGGACATTTTTCTCCTCTTCTGCCTTCAGCAGAGCTCCTTCCAGATTACTTTCGACAGCAGTCTCCAGTTCACTGCTGGCTCTGCGATAGAGAGCGTGACCTGCGCTGACCAGGCGCCACATCGAATGGTAAGAAAACCGATGAAGTTACTGCGCAAGTTGCTGCTTTAACCAGTCGATAATCAGCTACAATATCATTTATTGCTCTTTTTGTTACAAAAATTGACGGGTTCGTTGATATTGGTGAATTGTTCGTATTTTGGGCGGCTCACTGGGCATCTGTGGCTGAGTGGTTGGAGCAGTCGTCCTCCAATGCGAGATTTGGGGGTTCGATTCCACCAGCAGTCACATGCCGAAGTGTCCCTGGGCAAGACACTGAACCCTCATTGCCTCTGATGTGTGTCCCATTGGTGCATGAATGTGATAAAGCTCTGATTATTCTTTGTAGAGATCTAGTAGAGTGCTGTATGAATGGGTAAATGAGGACAAAGATTGTAGTGTAAAGAACTTTGTATCTTGATAAGATAAAACGGTGCAGTCCATTTACCATCTGCTCTCAGTAACGATGACTTATGTTTCAAAAAGCAATTACTGAGACCCAGTATTTTGTAAAACGTGATGATACAGCTGTGATGAGCAAAGAAGCAGTCGATGTCAAAAGATCAGTTTAAATCAGAAAGTTGTGACAGTTTGACCTGAGCTTCAGAACGTGATAAAGACACGTCGGCTGATTGATTGTTCATGACGATGGCGTCAGGCGAGCGTCGATGGTTTTTATTGTATAGGCCTGTCGAAAAGCAGACGTATTTTGGTATAGTCTCCGTACGTCAGTCAACTTTCTTCTGTCCTGCCCATAATGTCTGATCCGCTCAACATAATTTAATGAAACTTCATACACAGATGCTTCATCACTACACGGAGTGTGGCGTTCACGTTTCATCACCTCACCTCCAAGGTCACAAATCATGATTAAACATTAGATAATGACTTTGATTGGCCGGGCCATAACGTCTGATCCGCTCAAAATAATTTAATGAAACTTCATACACATTTGTACCACCACTAGACAGCCTGATGCTTTCATCACCCCAGCTCTAAGAGCAGCTCGGTTCTGGTTCTGCAGACCAACCCTGCAGCGACGAAGCCCACCGCCCCCTCCAGGTTGATGTGTGTGTGGATCATTGAGCTTCAGGATTATTTGCAGCTTTCCTGCCAGTTCTGTGAGCTTAACTTAAAGCGTAGATTTGCGTTGCTGCAAAACAATCCCTCCATTTCGGTAGAAAACAGCAGCCGGAAGCACTGTTGGCTTCTGGGTAGTGTAGTTATTTTGACTGGCGTTACAGTGTAGACTTATTGAAAGAAAACTACAAAACGGCGACGCCTGCCCAAAGTTATTTTTTCGTTAACTTTTTATCCTGTTCCGTCACAACCACATGAGTAATATTAAAGTTGACAATCGTTGAAAACCCGTGAACGTCGAACCGCGAAGTAGCGAGGGACTACTATGTTGCAGTATAATAGTTTGTTGACGGACCTATTGTGTGCCGTATGTGGTAGGCTTGTTAATTTGAGTAACGGATAAAAGTTTGTGAGAAAAAGAAGTGCGTCTTACCTCGTCTGATTGATTGTTTGGTAAGAATGCAGAGATTAGCAATAGCTGATCTAAAATGACTGTCTTCTTGTTTTGTAGGTTTTGCACTGTAAATGTTGGGTGGATACTTTGACTTTTCCTGTGACGGTCACCCAGCAGTCACCTGCTGCTGTTTCCATGGACACCTATCAGATCTCTACTGCACCTGTGATGGCAGAGGTACCATCGCACAAATCTTGGGTTTTGGTAACATGTGCAGAGGAAGGCTGGTCTCTAAAACAGATGAAGAGGGCGAAGAATCACAAAAATCATAATGAGTTATCTTTTTAATCCTTTTTAAATGCAGCGCTGTTAACCTTCCATCTGCCTCTAATGTGTCGCTCTCTGTTTTCATCAGGTGGTGGTGACCCTGGAGGAGGTGGAAGACGAGGGTCTGCTGGTATCCTGGACTCTCTCCAGGCAGCCATCATTTTCTCTGACTGTGTCCTCGTGTAAACTGCAGGTGAGGACACCGGTCACAGACTCTGAGTAATCCGATATCCCAGCAGCAAGTGAAGGTCTCGCATCGAAAACCACCCAATTTTTTATTACAAACCAATAAATCTGCAAGTTTAACAATAGCAAGCTAATCCAGCACTCTCTATGCAAATATGTTTTCTGATTACACCTTTTAACAGGTTCTTTTAATAAATCTCTGCCAAGCCTCTGATTTCCATGTGAATCACTCTGCAGCCCATTTAACGCCACATGAGTCATGGAGGAAGTGACACTTTGGAGTTAAATTGCTCATTTTTCTGAGGCAGAGAGAAAACAAATGACATAAGAAGCAAACGAAAAATATCTTTTTATTTATTAACAAATGCATTGTAGAACACAGACTTCCTTCTTTAGAAAACAAGGGTGTAAAAGCCCAAATTGCGTTACAACATCAGACCAAAATAATTGCTCTAAGCAGCCTCTTTAGAAGTTATTATCCCCTTGATACAATCTGTGCTAAGTTTCTGTTTTTACTTTTTAAGTCCGCTGAGGCCGAAGCAGACCTGGACATGATCAAAGGAATGGTTCAGGACGCTCTTTTCAGCACTCAAGCGGCCATGGTCCTCAACCTGAAGACTTCTGAGCCAAGTTGTTCAGTGAGGAACAAGTTTTTAGCTCGGCGCTAATTAATTATCTATTTTCTGCAGCAAACAAATGTCAAAGGCTGCTGTCTTTAATAGATTATGGTCTTAAGCAGATTAAAAGTGAGCTCTGAACAGTTGTTTCTACACCCCCCAGTCCCCGATGGATCACCTCTCAGTTGGGGTGAACTCCTCATCCCAGAGTGTCTTGGTGAGACGACTCCACCTCCGGCAGCTCAGCGTGACCTTAAGTAAAGGTTAACCACCATTCTCGCTCAGCGTCTGATCGTTCTTTCTGCAGAGACAGCCAAAGTCTCACTGCCCTCCATGTTTTCAGGCCAGTGGTCCAGATCAGGGGAGCTTTGCTGCGTCCTGAGCCTGGACCAGCCCTCTGCAGAGAGGAGAACCTGCTTCCGGCCTGTGCCCGCCAACCCCAGCGCTGCACTTGAATGGAGTGAAGAAATGACACTGTAAGCTGTTCCACAGAACTCACGAGACTAAGAAATGTTTTTGTTTCAGTGAGCTGCTAAACCACTGTTTGTTTGCCAGAGTCACAAATTACAGCAGTGATTGCTACATGATAGATTTATTGTTTTCTCCAGTTTGATGACATTTTAAATCAGAACTGGTCATCAGCAATAAGAATCTGACAATCAGTGGGTTCAGTCTGCTCAATCTGCACTCATGAATCCTTCATGATGGAAAACTTTATGTATTTAATACAGTATTTAAATAACATACTTAAGTGTTTTTGTCTCCCTTGTGGAACAAAAAGGGGGAATTGGAAATTACGTGTGTCCATCCTTGCATGTTGAGTGCAATAGCTTGAAAAATAAGTGAGATACAAGCTTCCATTATGGTGTGTGGCAACATCTAGGTGTCAGAAAGGTTCCTTTTGAAAACTTGGTTGCCAGGTCAAAATCCAAGATGGCTGCCACCATTGGTGGTTGATAAAATTGAAATGACATTGATGAGACATAAAATAAAAGCCTACCTTTATACTTCTCCACAGTGCAACTCCTCCCCACTTGGATATCTTGCACCAAAAACATTAAGGTTTACTTACATCCTCTGTTCATCTCCAGTCCAGAAAAACACTCATTCAAAAAATGACAAACATTCACTATTCAAGTCCTTCACTGGTGGGAGACATCGGTGTACAGGTCGTTCTAAAAAAATTAGCATATTGTGATAAAGGTCATTATTTTCCATAATG